TTGGTTATCTTTCGATACAATTATAATCGGTTAGAATCGATTATTTTGATCCCAATTTTTAATTCAAATGTTGTGCATAAAAATTTCAATTTGATAATTCTTTTGCATATTTTGTCTTTGACCTTGCATCTCAATTACTTATATTTTATGTTTTTTGTAGACGTTGACTTATGTGAAAAAAAAAGAGAAATGATTTAAAAAAATTCAAATTAAATTAAATTTTTAACTTTTTTTTACATAATTTCTACAATGAAGTTGTTTAATGAGGCACAAATTTTTCTCATTACCAAAATATCAGCACATTGCTGTAGTTTCATGATTTATTCGGAAGTTCTATTTTCACCTAGTGCGGGAATATTTCAACTAATATGAAAGAATCTCTATGAAACTTTTGTTGCGTAATAATATTTTGTGTTCAGCTGACGCAAAGTGTGACAAAACATCACGCTCTTAGAGATTTTGTTATTGACAAAAACAACTCATGGGACATAATTAAAATAAACTTTTGGTATGACAAAATTCTGGCTAAACAAAAACTTATAATCAATTATAATTGATTTAAAGAGTATTTTTATGAGTAATAATCAATTATAATCATATATAATAGAATATGATCTTTTGGAAAACATCACGATTATATTCGACTACAAATCCTCTAAACACCTAATTTTGGTAATTATAATCAATTACAATTGTCAAAAAGTCATAGCACTAATCCGTTAAAATCAATTGCTTACGAATAAACTTGGATGCGGGGAAAACAAAACAGCTAAACAAACGCTCTCTTTGATATACAAATTTTTTTCATTATCCGTCGAAAACTTCAATTCACTCAACAAAGTACTATTTTATTTCAATGACGTAATGGTCATATGAAAAATGAAACTGAGACGAGCACTGGAAACGTATACAGAAAGTTCTAACAAACTAACAATTCTGCGTATGCAGTTGCCCATGGAGTGGAAATGGAACTTGTTCATCATACAATGTGGGCTGCAATTCGATATCGTATTTTTCATTAGGCTGTAGATTTTGAAGCAGATAAGTACACGAAGTTTTCTCAGCTGCGCAATGGGAGCCCAAGAATACGCCGTCCAATTTAGTTGCTGTCTCGGTTGATTTTTTCACCTGAAAATGTGTTTCAGTTTTGACATATCACAAAAAAAAATGGGGCGGGGCTGGGGTTGGGGGTTGATTATTAGGGCTAGGGTTGGCCTAATTGTTTCCTTTCCTCACTTATGGTAGCCAAATTTGGTATCCAGTATAGTACAATTTTGGGTGATATATTTCTGATCGGCCAAACAAATTTTAGTAAGGGCATCGCTGATACCGTGCCAATATACTCTATTTTGAATGAAGAGAGCAACTTTATTTCAAAAAAAAATGTCTTAAAAAAATTCGCCTGCACCGCAAATTACTTATATCATTTATATCAAGCTGGTAAACTCGAAAAAGCAATTAAAAACGGACCAAAAATAACGACCTAATTTCTGAAACTTTTTCAAACCCAATAAACAAAAATCCACCCATCAAACCATCATCCATGCCATTGCTGCTGATTCACTGCCTTTGCAGAAATTATTCGTTTCAGTTATACCAGAACTTGGATTTTTTTCAAATAACTTTTTTGACTGGCGATTTTGAAAACAGCTTTGTGCAGAATTGAGATTTGAGCACTAACAATCGATGTTTTTCTTAGAATTTTTTCTAGCAAAACTTGCTGTTTTCGTTTTTAGGCAAATCCTACTCAAAAAATAGTTCTAAGCCGTCAAATAAAATTAATTTCAAAATTTCAGAAATTAATTTCTCACCAAGTAACAAAAATATACAACATAGTTTTCCGCTCTGAGGCGGTGGCGTCCTTCATGCTTGAGGGACCGAATGCTTGAAAATAATTTTAGCTTACTTTCAGCCAATCAAAATTGAGTATTCAAAACCGCAAAGTAAATCGCGAAAATCTCAAAGTAAGAAAATATATCCAAGCCATTAGTGTTAATATTGACCGATTAGATAAAAAGCAGATGAGTTTTCAAGACTGAAAAATTCTTGTGATTTTGAACTCATTAATCTTGATGATTATCTGAATAGAAATGCGGTTGTAACCCGCAATTTGTAATATTTTTGATAACCTTCCACTGATTTAATACATTTTCTGTTAATATTGACTTCGATTTTTTTGAGAAAGGCATTTAGCCAATAAAAACGCTTAGCGATATTGATTGGTTGAAGTTTTTCAAGCATTCGGTCCCTCAAGCATGAGAACTCTTCCCTCTGAGACACATGCGAACGGACATATAGGTATAACGGAGTGCAGCCTGTATTTAGACAACCGCGTATTCATACTCGTCAGTATTCAGACAAATACTGTATGAACCAATCAGAATTGAGAAAAGACATTATTAATCCAAAATAAATAATAATTATTTATTAATTTCTTTTTTGTCTTGATTCTGATTGGTTGAAACAGTATTTGTCTAAATACTGACAAGTCTGAATTTGCGGTTGTTTAAATACTGCTATGTAATCAGGTGTAACGGTGCTCTCCCATACAGTAAACTTGTTCGCGTTGTTTTGTATTTTTTATCATGAATTACTTACACTGAAAGTTCCCAAAAACAGTTTATGATTACTTTAGTATGAAGAAAATATTGGACCAAATTGACATCTGCCCCCTAAAATGGCCCAGGATTGGATCTTAACTTCATTGCAAACTTTCGGAATCCGGAACAATTTATGAAATCCACAAACAAATAACAATATTTGTGCAAAAAAATGCGCAATCGCGGACTTCTCAACTGTAAGCGGAATCCACAATTTGTAAGCGGACTCCACGAATTATAAGCGGACTCCGCAAAGTGTAAGCATATTCCGCAAGTTGATTTTATTTCTGGGTTTGTAGCAGCTCATAATTGATTTTCATTTCAAGTAAAAATGGCCTGTTTCATCCTTATTAAATCGGTAGGGTAAAAGTTTTTTACTTCGTCGATTTGAATTTTGAATTTTCTAAAACAATAATCTGCATCATTTGTTTCAAGATTGATTATTTGAAGACACTGTATTTCTTATCGTCAACCGTTAAGGCATTACAGTCAAGGAACAGTGAGTTTGCCTGTTTTCGTTTCGAATTAGAAAAACAAACAAATGAAGTTTTTTTCCAATTTAAATCAATTTCTCACCTTAAGTTATGCAAAACTGACAATTCCACACATGGTTGGTGCAAATATATAGAAAAATTAGGCCAAATACGAAAAAAATGAGCGCTGTTTTTCGAACCATTATTTGGCCAGTAAATTACAATTCGATAGAGAGGTTTTTTGATGCATGAAACATGCCTTTAAATGGCAAAAGTAGTTTGAAGACTTCTTGGTTACTAAATTATTCTTAGGAAAACTTAGGACCTTGTCTTCCTTCTCTCAAAAAACTGAAACGACAGTCAAAAAATTTTTAAATTTTATTTGAGACAAGTTTAGAGAACTGTTTTTTGACAAACTAGTCCTTTCATTGCTTTTATCTTCGTATGCCAACGAGCTGGAGCAATTCTTAAATCATCAAAATAGCGTATGATAACCTAATGGTAACTGATTAGCCGAACTATCTATACCTTCGACAAAAATTTCGAAACCTTGGAGAGAATTTTGAGCGATAATTAAAATTAATCGACAATTGTTGGTCCAAGCTTTTTCATTTTCTCAGTTTTTATCGGTTGTTTGGCGCTTTCACAGAATCTCTTAAAGAATAATTTAGGTCCATAACTTTAGTTTTCTTTTTTTTTTCTCACGAGGATGTTTCAAGAATAACAACAATTTCCAAACTAGTTAAAATTGACTGGCCAAAGTATGCTTCTAAATCATTTTTTCTAAAACTGTTTTCTTGGCTATGTGTCAGTTTTCAAAAACCGTTTTCTTGGCTTGTGTCAAAAGTTGAGCCCTATATCGTTATTATTAGAAAAATTGTTCAAAACGTGAAGAAAAACTTGTTCATTTACTCAGTTTCAAATCAGAAGTTGTTAGTTCGTTGTCCCGTAACAGTAAGAACCTATTGAGATTTTTCGCGAATCAGTTTCTTCGAACAGAAGGTTCTTGTGAAAGACATTTCTATTGAATAAAACTTCCTGAATAAAACTTTTTGCGCTCAAAGTTGATAACATTCCGTCAGCTTTAAAATGAAATTTTTAATTGTTTCAATAAAAGCGTTTTTTACTTGGTAGTTGAAGTCGAATTTTTCTCTGTGTGGTAGCTGATTGGCCTGGATATGGACGAGGCACGAGTCACCGTCACAAATATAGGTATCAACTTCAACTCCAAAGCGATGAACTAAAAAAGGGCCGACCTTTAGTTTATTTTTCATAAGTAGTAGTTACTGATAAAATGATGGCTTTAGAAAAACCCAGGATGATTAAAAATATTAGTCATAAAATTCCCGCAAATGAGAGTTGTATGGACTCGCATTTTTAAAGGCTCTATATCTGGAACTGTGTGAGAACTGAGAAGCAACTTCAGAGTATCGTGTGAAACCCGGAAACTTATTGAATTGTGTAGAAAAAACTAGTTAAGTAAGAACTGACATCGCATTTTCGAAGAAAGGCTGAACAACAGTAGGTATCGAACCAGAAATAAAAACTACAAGAAAGAAAAGGATCACATAGTTTCTCAAAAAGAAAATACTCAAACCTTAGAGGCCACAGTACCATATAATATTTGATTTCTAATCAACAACTCTAAAATTTTGATTTCGAGTTATATTTCAAATGAGAATCAGTGAACCTTTTGGCCAAAATGCATGTTACCAAGGAGACCATGGATGTAAGTAAGCCATTGCGGATTAAAATGAGGAAACCTAAATATGCCATTGCTGATAACGATAAATTCTACGGTCGCCTCAATGACATAACCATGTAGCGGTGGGTTTTTTTATTATCAAAGTGAATAAAAAATAGTGCCAATTGCACCCAATTCAAAAATTAGTCGCGTTACTACTAAAAGACTCAAATATAGAAACATTTTCAGACTTATTGAGTCGCGCCGCTTCCGGGTCTAGACCCAAATTGCCTTTTTGCACCGAAAGCTTGAGACTGAAAGTCTGGACATGAATCGCGCCAAGGGTCGCGAAAGTCTGGACTAACCAAAACTTGGTCGCGAAATTCTGGACATAGGACGCGAAACTCTGGAGAGGCATTTTCAAGTTTTTTGTGACTTCAAGTTCAGACTTTTGCGACGAAATTATGGTATGCCTAGCGCGTCTTTCATGGCCCACGGCGAGTCTTTCGCGACTCATGTTCAAACTTATGATTTTTTTCCAGACTTTCTATACTCAAGGTCTCCTGGCGGCTATGCAATTAGTGTCTGTATCCGGATGCGGCGCGACCCGCTGCGCAGTTTGGTGTCCAGAATTTCCAGTCTCAAACTCTCGGTGCGACTATGCAATTTGGGTCTGGATTCGGATGCGGCTCAATTCATTCGCGACTTTTTCGATTCACGGTGCAACTTTATGTCCAGGCTTTCCAGACTCAAACTCTCGGCGCGACTACGCAGTTTGGGCCTGGGATCAGCTGTAACAAGACCCACGTGCGACTTTTGCTATCCACGGAGCAATTTCATGTCCACATTTTCCAGACTCAAACTCTCGACGCCACTATGCAAATTGGGTCTAAATCCGTATGCTGAGCGAGCCAAGGTGCGACCAAGTATGAGACGGCGTGACTCGGAAACGTCACGACCCTACATGCAACGGCGCGACCGGCGAGATCAAGCTTTGCCATTTCCAGACACCGCGACCGAGGTGAAGGCGGCTCTCGACTTTCGCGACCAAGATGAAACTATCGCAAATTTTGCCACCGAGGCGGAAACAGCGCAACCACGGTGGAGATGGCACTTCCCAGTAACAATTTCTCTTGGTGTAGACGTCGGCGTTGTGAATTTGCAATCAACTCAATACACCTGGGTCGAGGAAATCTGAAAATGGCTGAGTTTGATTGCGCCGTTGTCGCTGTTTCTTGAGTCGCACTGGTCGCGCCGTCTCTACCTTGGTCGTAAAAGTCGCGGCTAATTTTTTCGGTCGCCAAAGTCTAGAAATGGCAAACTTTGGTGGCGAAAAACTGGACATACCAAATATGGCTCGCTAAATTTTAATCGCGCCGTCTCCGTTGCGAAAGTCTGTCTGGACATATCTAAAGTTGGTCGTGACAGTCTGGACATGCCAAAATTTTATCAAGAAGTTATAGAGTCGTGGATTTGAACCCCGTGCTTACATTAATTTAAAATCGGAACAGATCAAGGTTTTCAAGGTTTGATTTCTGTACGTGACCGTTTTAAAGTCAAAAACTCTTATATTTCAAATTGAAATGTTATTTCAAATGAGAAACAGTGGCTTTTTGTCATATTAGATGCCAAATTGGACGAGACCCTTGATGTCAGAAGACCGATGCGGATTACCAGTAGGAAATCTACATATGTCCTTAATGATGACAGTAATTTATGCTAGTTTTGTTTCTAAGGTCTTCTCAATTACATAAGGAATGCTATTTCAAAACCAATTAGGTGGTGGGTTTTTTATTATTACCAAAGTTTGGAAAAATTAGTGTCATTTGTACCCAGTTCAAAAATCAGTCATGTTTTTTAGAAAAATAGCTAAATTAATAAGTGTATAACAAATCGCCTGGCTGAAAATTCTATCAATATCAATCTAATATGAACAATTTAAAACATATAAAACATATTTTTCATTTCGGTAATGACTTTAAAAGTCGTATACGATCGCACAAATGGGACTTACTTCTGAATTCAATATTCCTCTGCCCTGTGGTAGATAGGCTTGTCATAGGGGGATTAAAATTGTAGTAATTGACTTCTGTCCTAATCCGGATCAATAGGAGTTGCTTAGGGTTAATAGCTGAGAGATCCAGGCACTGGAAGCCAGTGTCTTGCTGAAAACGAATTGGCCACAAATCGGTTGTTGAGTTCAAAAAAATACAATAAAACACAATATCAACATTAATACAAAATATAGCAAAAAGAGCTGTCTGACCAGCTAAAGGCCGTTCACCAATTGAATTTTATCTAAGAATGTGCAGTGGTTCAAGATTTTTATGGAATGATGGTTGCATAGTGACTTTCGAAAATGGAAAAAAGGGCGCTTTATTTTCATTTATATGGTGTTGTGGTTCCTGCGAATCGCAGTAGGCCTTAACAGTCGTGTCGAAGGATAGTCCAATTATCTCCCCACAATCCCGACTGTGTAATTTTGTTAAGCTAGCTCTTTTTTTGCGACTCAAGGCCGTATTTTGCCTCTAGAACTTTCACAGAACTTTGCTTCTAGAATTTTCACGTGGTACCACTATTATAGCCGAAATTGGTCAGGCTGTGGTAGACCCGAAGCTAGAGGTCAAGTGAGAGCTCGTCTTCACACACTATCATTCATTGCCATGGCATGGGATCGAATACACGATCTGACAATCTCAATGTAAACACTTTACTACTATGCTAAGTGCCTATTATATAATGTATTTAATATTCGGCAGTGTTTTTCGAAACAATTTTTGACAACACGCTGGTTCAAAAAAAAATCTCTCAATTCACCAATCACATGATGCAACATTTTCAGAAGATCCACGAAAACAACATAGATCATAAATGGCAGCATTCAATTGTAGTTATTGCTCTAAATGCGCGCGAAAGCTATTGTACTATAATTTGGGTCCAGTTTGTAGTGTTGGATCAATTCAGAATATCACGAGAGAGTGGGACTTGAAAACTTGGTCGACCTTTTTGGGGGTCGACTAACCGGATTTTCCGAGCTCTCCCATATAACTATAACGAAACCATTTTTTGTTTTAAACAAATCTGCGTCGCAGACAAACTTGCTATGAAAACGTGCAAAAACGGTTTTTGTGCATTTTTGTGACGTTTCCGTCAAAATGTCATCGCTTTGGGCGCATTTACCAATAGTATATTGTACAAAGACTCCTTTAGAAAATTATCACAGCTTATGCGACGAAAAAGTTTGTCTCACATAATAAGGCCAAAATGCGGGCCCATTTGTAATGAAACCATGAGGGGAGGCTACATGCTGAGGGAAATACTGAAGGGGCTGCATCCTGATGGGGTATATACATTTGGGTATATTTGGTTACCAATTGTCCAACTCGGCTGTCCACTCGATCAAGTTCAGTAACTGTTTCGCCTCCGCTCCACTGACTCAGTGTGCTCGTCACTCTGTCGTAGTTGGCTTCTTCTTTGGAATTGTGCCACACAACGCAGAGAATTGAATCGTTCATGAACATGACACTGACGTCACTGTTGATCGTCGGAGGACCTGCAACAAAAAAAAATTGAAGTGCAAGATGTCTGTATATAAAATTTCTTTTAAGCAAAGCCAAAAACAAATCGAAGCAAAGCCAATCTGGAAAAGTGTCTATCAACGCAAGGAAACAGAAAAAAAATACTGTCTTCTTTTTTGAAAGAATTTTAATTTTAAAAATATACGCCCTTGAAGCTCTTTGATTTCCCAGATCATAATATGACTGAAACTTTTTTGAATAGTTAGCAGAATTTGAGACAACTGGAACAATAGTTAGATTTTTTATTCCACTGGGAAATCTAAGTTAAGTCCAATTTTGAAACCACCAGTTGATCAAGTATTTTGTGACCCTTACACATATTAGCTGTTCGATATTGAATTTGTCTACTTTTTAACAAGGAAAATGATGTGAACTTAAAAAGAAAATTTACGCGGAATATTTTGATACTTTCACGGGTTATTAATTTACGCGGACAATTTTGATCTGAAAGAAAAACTCTTTATTTATGACTACTAAAGCGAATTTAATTGACTAATTATTGACTAAATAACTAGTTAATTAAAATGTCAAATAGAAATCTTAAGAAATTTTTAATTGTTTAATTAAATTTGTCAATTTAGTTGTCAAATTAATTTGAGAATGTTTTTAAGGTTAAAAAAATTGAAGAAGTAAATTGTATATCATTGAATTGCTTATGATTCAAATACTGTTTATGATTGTGTTTTGTTCTTATTTGATCTGAATTAAAAAGTTGGATCACAAAGTAGTTATACATTCAGCGCAGATTTATAAAAATTCAAGTCCTTAAATGGAACCAGAAGACATTCACATTTTTTTTAGCCTTTTCGCTTTTGTTAATTGATTGCGCAATTTGCCTTTATTCAACAAAGGAAAATATGTGAGCTTTAAAAATATCACGAGTCAAATTGCAAATTTCAAAGTTGAGCTTGATGAACTTTCAATTATTTTTTCTCTCAAAAAAAAACGACAAGCTCCGTGTAAGTGAAATTTTTGGGGTGGTGATTATCGATCAATCTTAGCGTTTTGGAAACAATTTAACCACAAACAAGGGCGTCTGAGCTGAAACAATTGACGGCAGACATTTTTTTGCTAATTTGTCTCATTTAAAGAAAATTGGATCAAAAGGTAGTTGTTAAATAAGCCAAAAATTTAAAAAAAAACAAGACTGCTCGTATCAGGGCGAATACGTGAAAGTTCCGACTGCCTGTTAACGTTTATGGAGTAGTAGTAACATAAACAACAAAAAAATTAAATGTAATAAAAAACAAAAGGAATAATTTTTTTTTCTAAAATTTGAATTTTTTTAATGAAAATCATCCCCCCACACGCCATATGAAGTACAAAACAAAATATTTCGCTCCTTGTAAGAAATCAATTATGGCAAATAAGCTTCTTTCAACCAATTTGGAACGATTTCCAAGACGGAGTAAATCTACAACCTATTTTATTAGAGACGGATTAAATCTCCGCTTAAGCGTTAATAGCGCGAATTCTATAGCGCGTTAATTGTCCCAAATTGATCAAAATGGCCAAAACGCCAATATTTAAACTCTCATAACTTTACCAAAAATAAATAACAAGTGAAACATTTTTTTCAAATTAAGCTCAGGACAACAATAGCTTTCGAATGATATAAATAGAATCCGTCAAAATGGCTAGTTAAAAAGTTGAAATTTGTCTGAAGAAAAAAAACCCACCCCGAGCACAAATATTCCGTTACTTTCGTATCGAAAGTCGGAACAATAAAGTCCATTTTTGAAACTAGAATTCAATCACGTTTTTTTGCGACTAATTCTCAAATAAATGGAGTTGCCTTCGTTCAACAAAAAACTATATGTGAGATTAAAACTAAATAACAAATCAAACAGCAATTTCAAGTTTTTTCATGAGAAAAAAAAAACAAAAAAGTTATTTTGATACTTTCACAGGTTATTAATTTACGCGGAATAATTTGATGTGAAAGAAAATCTCTTTATTCGTGACAACTAAAGCTATCTTGATTGACTAATTTTTGACTGAATAACTAGTTAATTAAAATGTCAAATAGAAATCTTAAGAAATTTTTAACTGATTAATTAAATTTGTCAATTTAGCTGTCAAATTAGTTTTAGAATGTTTTTAAGGTTAAAAAAACTGAAGAAAAAAAATTGTATCTCATTGAATTGTTTATGATTCAAATACTGTTTATGGTTGGGATTTTTTTTGATTTGATCTGCATTAAAAAGTTGTATCACAGTAGTTCTATATTCAGCTCAGATTTATAAAAATTCATGTCCTTAAATGGAACCAGAAGTCATTCAATTTTTTAAAATCTTTTCGTTTTTGCTAGTTGACTGCGGAGCTTGTCATTATTCAACAAAGGAAAATACGTGAGCTTTAAAAATATCACGAGTCAAATTGCAAATTTCAAAGTTGAGCTTGATGAACTTTCAATTATTTTTTTACTCAAAAAAAACGACAAGCTCCGTGTAAGTGAAAACTTAACTTGATTTTTGGGGTGGTGATTATCGATCAATCTTAGCTTTTTGAAAACTATTTAACCACAAACAAGGGCGCCTGAACTAAAACAATTGGCGGCTGAACTTTTTTTCTTTTTTTTGCTAACTTGTTTCATATAAAGAAAATTGAATCAAAAGGTAGTTATTTAATCAGCTGAAAATTTAAAAAAAAAACTGCTCGTATCAGGGCAAATACCTAAAAATTCCGACTGCCTTTTAACGTTTATGGAGTAGTAATAACTTGAACAACATAAAAAAATTAAATGTAATAAAAAACAAAATGAAAAATTTTTTTTTCTAAAATTTGAAAATTTTCAATGAAAATCATCTCCCTACACGCCATATAAAGTACAAAACAAAATATTTCGCTCCTTGTAACAAATCAATTATGGCAAATAAGCTTCTTTCAACCAATTTGGAACGATTTCTAGGACGGATTAAATCTACAACCTATTCTAATAAAATCGAAATAAATCTCCGCTTAAGTGTTAATAGCGCGAATTATATCGCGCGTTAAATGTCCCAAATTGATCAAAACGGTCAAACTGCCAATCTTTAAACCCTCATAACTTTACGAAAATGCTGATATTAAATAACATATCAGTTTTCGTTCGAAATGATTTTTTACTCACGTGTTAATATTATGTGCTCCAAACCCTCTCTACTCATTTGAACAAATTCTCCGCATAGTTCACCAACTACACGCACGGTTATTTGATAGACAGCGCCTTGATTTAAAAAACCATTCGATATTCTTGAATTCAACGTTAATGTCGAATTCAACAGCACTTCTGATGACGAATATATAACTTCCTCAATCGGCCAATTGGTTTCAGCGATAAGCAGTCGCACAGTGACATCTAGTGACTCATACCGCAAGCTTCCCTCGTATGCCTCATCAGAGAAACTTATTATGACCTCGTCATCCCCTAAATAACTCACCACCTCTAGAGTTTTGGGAAGCGTGGGTGGCTCTGAAATTAAACAGGTCAAATTAAAAAAGCAATGTTTTCGTTGAAAAATTCCCCAGATCACAGGACTGCAGTAATTTGAATAAAATAAGTGTTTGATTAAAGCTGACCTAAAGTACCTTTTGGTCCTAAAATGTTAGAGAATAAATTAAAAATCTGTCGACATTTTTGAGGCTTTTTCAAGCTGAAAACTTCGTTATTACCTGGGCACGCCAAGGGATCATCTGGATTATTTTGACTGTAGACCAGAGCTACAAGAACAAGAGCTGCAGACAACGCTGAAACAAAATGAATCCGTGAACAATTAATTGACTAAAAATCATAACCTCTTCAATCAAATGAATAACCTTTTGCTTCAATCAAATTAAGTCAAAACAATATAGTGCAGAGCTGCGTGAAAGAACCATGGACATGGATAAGGAAAAAAATGAGTATTAGCTTTACTTTTATATTTCCGCTCATAATCAAATGAAAAAGTATAATTTTTACTATATATTTAATCATTTAATTTTCCCGAAAACCAACAAAGGTTCTCTTTAGCAAGGTTTTTTTCAACTGCGGTAATTTTTTCGAAAAAAAAATCAAAATTATAGAAGAGAAATTTTAAGTTCTTCAAAAGCGAAACGAAAATGTGAGGATAAATGTGAGGATTGAAACTGCTACATTCAATGATTACCTGGTTTTAAGAACATTCTTATAAGAAAAATGATGGCAAATTTGAAGTCAACTAATTATAAACAACTGATTTTTCTTTGTGCTGTTTCAAAATGGGACCCTTTGACAGCTCAGCACGAATCATCACGACTTTATGCGAAGAAGTTGTTTTACGTAAAGAAAACAGTACCATTAGTCGTAAATAATGAAAAGAACTTGGCCATAATAATTTGTAAAAAGAATCGGTAAAAAAATAATTTGACGTTCTCGAATCATCTAAAGAGTTATCGTAAGCTTCATGCTAAAAAATCCAGCGGCTCTAATCATTGAAGCCTTCATCGAAAAAAGTCTAGCGGCTTACATATAGTCGACAGAAATTTAAATGACGTAATTTTTCAGCCATAAAGCACTGATCAAAACAAATGTTCAAAATGTGCGCCGAAAGGTAATCGTATTTTTAGATACCAAATAAATTATGAATCACTCCGTTGCATAGTCAGTATGAACTATGGTTCGATGGAACTGTATTCATAAGCAGCCCGAAAACATGATTAGCTAACATCCAAATGTTTGTGAAATCTTTCTTGGTTTTACATTGCTGTGATCTTCTAAAAATGGGGCAGAAAATATTTACCCGGTGTGGTTTTTTTCTGGCATTAACATAAACATTGAATTTTTTGACCAAGTCTTTTACCAAGTAAGGACTTGATATTTTGAGTTTTAGAAATGAATTTCTCATGCGATCTTTTTTTGCAATAAGTGGGGGTGGTCTGAAATTTGTGGTGACACAGTTGCTGCTGATTCAAATTATTGAGAGAACGCTAAAACAAAAAGCTTAAAATTTGATGGTCTTTTTGGTCATACAGACACTCTGTAAATGATCATTACGACGCCAAACTGTGCGCTGGATAGGCGCAAAACGTAGTGTCTCTAGGAATTCAGAGACAAATATTGAACTGTAAGTGGATTCCACTAACAAAATGTCAATGGATTCTGAGCTCAAATATGTGTTATGTAAATTTTGTCGTATATGAATATAAATGTTGTCGCAGATTCTGCAACGAGCAAATAAAGCTAGTTGTTCCAGATTCCGCAAACGTAAGCGGATTCCCCAAATTGTAAGCGGATTCCGCAAATGTAAGCAGATTCCGTAAATGCCGCTAATAGTTTTAAGGATTCCGCCTACAATTTGCGGATTATGCTTACATTTTGCTAACTCGGCTTCCAGATGCGGATTCCGCGACAGCGTAAATTTACTATACAAAAAATTAATATTTGCTTGTGGATTCCCCAAACTGTTTCAGATTCCTCAAATTGGGCTGTTTTTTGAGCAACTTTGGGCAATAGAGTGTTTTAGGTTAGTGTTCATGGAATCCAAAACAGCATAATTTTTTTTTATATAGCAATGTTGCGCACTCCAGAACAAATCTGCTTTCAACCTGTTACGGACTACGCTCGAAATTCACAAAAACCAAATTTGGCATCGTAATAATGAGAAAAATATATATATACATATATTTAACAATTGGATTGATTTTGGTTGTAGGATATAAAAAAGGGGCAAACGAAAACGAAACAACTTTATCTTGAAATAAGCTTCATTTTGAAATTTTAAAACTATAAGCAGTTGTTACACATAAATTTTTTTAACCTTTTCCGAGATTGACAAAAAGGCTAGTCATACTTTTTCAACTTGTAGAACAAGTTTTTCACTCATCTAGAAAGATGTCTGATAACTCTACGACTAGTATTCTCTCGTTTTATGAAAGTGTGCGTTCAGCAATTTCATTCGTTAAATGAAAGCTTTTCATTAGAATTTTTTCATTACGTTCCTCAGATGATTTTTTTAAATTGAGTTTATGTATATTGTTAAATCCGGCCGCACGCATAAAAAAGTTTAGAAAACTCTTCTCAAACATTTGTGAAAAAATTTAACTTTTTGTGAGGACTTAAAAGATTTCTTTTCGACAATAAAAGTGTTTGTAAATAACCGCTTGCTTTATGTCATACATGCATTTTATCGTACCAGGAGAATAAATTCGAAAGTTTGCATTAGTAATGCAAAATAAAATAGTTTTCCTAATATTGATTTTTTTTCGGATTTTCTTGAAGAAGTGTACTCTTGTTCATCAATTGGAATTGTATGACTGGCTTTTTTTATCAATTGTTGTACAGTGTGTACTGCCTGAAGTTAATTCAATAAGTTTGTATGTTCTTGTCCTTAGTTTTATTCAAATTGAAAAGGAAAAAAAATTCTCGGTGGATATTCTCATAAGCTATAAGAGTTTAATGGTTGTTTTTCAGCGTCTCCTACTTTTATAATAAAACCAAAAAAAAAACAACGAATGATTTGCCTCAGTTCATTTAGGATTGATCAAATCCGCTAACTACCCGTGTTAGAGATGACAATATATTACGCGTTGGTTGTCCCAAAGAGGCCAAATTAGCATTTATCAAATCGAAGAACTACAAAAATGATCGCAGTTGAAGTTTTTTTTTTTTGATGTCTGCACAACGTTATATTTAAGACGCCTTTTAAAAATACAGATCAAAAAATGGTACGTTCCTGCATGAAACCACACCAAACTGGAAAATAAACAAAACACGAATTGTATACAAATTTTACTAAAATAAATGAGGTCTTTGGGGATATTTTTTAGCAAAAATAATGTCCTATATTGCGAAAAAAAATGTGTTGGTCTTGGTTCAGTTCATTAATATATCTAATTTCTATTGAGTCATTTTTGTCATTTCTGTAAAAGTTTATGCTAAGAAGCAAAAAAAGCTCTTTCTTGCCAAATGGTTTTAAATTGACTCGATAAGTTGATTTTTCTGATTCGACAATTATCTTGACGCCCAATACATGCAGTTTTGCAGAAAAAGGTGACGCGTAAGGTTGTCCAAAAGCAAATAAATTAAATCTTATACCGTTTCAGAGTTACAAAAAACAAGTATCTGCGATGACAAATTTTTTGTTTGCATATTACTATTTGCACCCCAAATTTCTTAATTTTTCCAAAATTTTTGGATCAACAATAATAATATTGGAATGAAAATTGTATTTGATAGGCCATACTCTGATTGACAAACAAATCTGATTGGCGGGCGCAATTAACCCAAAACGTTGTGCAGATTTCATGCTCATAAGAGAAATGCAATTATTTTATGTGTGGTCAATCTGCAAAAAAATTGTGGTTTTATTTGCTTCCGCCAACCACATTTGTTCGCCAACCAGATAAGGGTATATTATAGACAATTTTTTTTTTTCAATTTTATCATTCTTGAGCCACAAAAAAAATAAAAAAACTGCAATACCCACATCGCTGATAAAATTCAACACAAAGTTTTTTTTTGCTCAAACCAACCCCATGCTCTACCACTTTAACGTCCCAAGTTTTTGTGGGACTCACGGCAGACAATTTTTTTTCTCGCAAGTTGAACAGTTCTTCATTTTTTACTAACAGTTGGTTTTAAATACTATTTTTGGTAGCCACACAACCTGTTTGAGTGTTTTCTGTAGCTACAGGTATAATCTTAGCGATTGAATGACCATCACTGAGAGATAGTTTCACCAAAGAGCACGATTATTTTAGGGGAGCAGATTGCCTTGCTACTCACCTTATCAATCAGAATTTCCCAAAGTTATCAAGTCTTAACCGTTGCTGTTACATAGAAGGATCCACAAGACTAAAAGCATTGTGGCGGTTACAAGTTATGGCAATTTCTTAAAAGCTTATTTATCCACAGTTGCTTTCAACAATCATCAAGAGATCTTCTTGAACACAATACCCAACTCTCGTCTCCAGGGAAGTTATCAACAGTCATCTCTACCCGAAGACCTGTGAGACACTTATTGACACTTGTTCGGTTGCTTCTAAGACCAGATCCGAACAAGTGAATTGCTATGCAAAAATTTCGAGTGACCCCCAAGGTTTACACTTGCGTAAGCAAGGCTCTCCAAGGGTAGGGCTTGCTTTTTTAAGCACTTGCCAACGCTTCGTGTGATGTCAGCAGATAGGGCCTCGTTTGATGAAAGGTTGCTTAAATATCAGAAGCTGTAGTGAAGTGACCCCAAAATGTCGTGCTGGCAACAGGAAGTACAAACATCAGCCCAGCAGCCCAAAAACCTCGTTTGCATCCCCAGGGTCTAGGTGGGTTCGATCTTGGTGAACCGGGTAAATCCGATTAATGCGGACGCCGTATGATTTTTACGTAATATTTTCAACACTTGGAAAAGTTTTTATCTCGATTAGAACCTTATTTTAGTAAAAACTACAACCTGATTTTGCTATGTTGTTTGTATTTACTGGACAAAAAAATGACCACAAAATCAAACTGAGTTGAGTTAAAGTTAGGTAATTGGTCCGATTGAGTTGTTACTTGTCGGAAGCATTATTTTTCGATCGTTAACTCATGGAATTTGCAGAAACAAAGCTGACCACGATGTTTAATTTTTTTATTAATAATTCAACTGAATGTATATTATTTTATAGATTTGAGGAAAAAAGTTCAACTTTTGGAAAAACAAATTTGGTTACGCAATCCGAATTTTCCCATGAGCTGAAAAAAATTTGGGCAATGGTTGTGTTTTTTCTCGACGCTTTCTGACTACCAGAAAAAAAAAGTTTTGACAAAAAGAAGTATCCTGTTGAAGCCATTGCAACTGTAATTCGAAGGGACAGCCAGTGTGCCAGCTTGTCGCATAGTGTAGTTGCTTGCCACGGGCTTGCGGTGAACGGATTCATTCTGTGGGTCCTGGAGACTTGGTACAAGTATTTGGGCTGTTGGTCTGATTTTTTTTACTTATTGCCAGAGCGAAACTTTCTTTGGCGATTTTTTTTTGTTTCAGGCTTTGTCTGCCAAATTTTCAAAAACCAAGAAGCATGATGCAAGCTCGGAAGCGAACAGTGGGTTGCTAGGCATCTTGTTACTTTTTATGACCCATTTTTGGTAAACCTTACTCTCAGTGATGGCCATTTTTTGCCTATGAGATAACTGAGACATCGAAAAAAAAATAATTGAGAACGTCTTACTTTTTTCGTTTCGCGAATATTTTTTCAGACGAGAAAATCGAGTTTTCCATCAAACAGTTTTGAGTTTAATTCAAATTGTTATTAGGCTGATTGTTTTTAATCAATAAACAATTGATTTTTTTTCCTTTTTAGTTCTTTTTTTTGCCAAAATTAACTTAAGTAGAAAGCTTTTGGGCTTCTTGCGCAGCAATTACTTTTGCTTCTTCCGACAATTTTTTAAAAAAAAAGACGGATTGTTTGTACTCCAGAAAAGTTTCGACATTTAACTAGCATTCATGACAGAACTTTAAAATCACTTGAAACTTATTGTTGTCTTGAGCTC